GATCCATGATACTGGGACTGCAGGGAGGGGAAACCCGAGCAGCTCCTTCCCCTCAAACGGGTTCAAGTGCAGATAAAACCCAGAGCTGGCCCTGCTCCAGGTGAGGATGGAGAAGCCAGGAGGAAAATTGTCAATAGTGGGGTTTTTCTTTAGAAGCTCCATTTTGTTGAAATAAAAGCTGTTCAGAACTCATCAATAGAGATGTGGTTGAGTAATCCTGTCTTTTGTCTGATCCCAAGGAAACGGTTGGGATGCAGTCAATGCACTGAGCAGAGAAGTGCCAGCATCACCCAAAGCAAGTGGTGTGATGACTCCACCAGGAAGAAATAAAAAAAAGCTGAGTTTGAGATCAAAGCAGGGATCTGGCATTTGCTGGCCAAATGGAAGACTAGTTTCTTAGGAGTTTGAAGAGCTGCTTGAGAAGGGAATGTCTGCAGATGTCTGGGAAGTCCAGGAATTGAAACAGAAGTCAAGACAAACTGAGGCTGCTCAGCACTGCTGGGCCATAAATCCTTCCCTGGCCTTTCTAGAAAGATTTTTTATCCACCATAAAGCACCTCTGGAATGCCTGCACCAGTCTGCAGAGAGTGCTGCTGGAATATACAGCAATTCCAGGGGTAAACACAGGGTGGTCCAATCCCATCCAGCCTGGCCTTGGGCACTGCCAGGGCTCCAGGGACAGCCACAGATGCTCTGGGCACCTGTGCCAGGGCTGCCCACCCTCACAGGGAAGAATTGCAAATTCTTTCTTTCTCCCTGCTCTTGCTTGCACCAATAAACCCTAGGATTTTTCTGAGATTCCCAGTACAGCTCTCCCTGGAGTTCTCACCTCACGAACTCCTGTCTTGCCACAGGTAAAGAAAATTGCTTTTAAGTGGATGTGTCCTACACATTCCTCATTTGATGTGCTTTTTTTGAGCACCCAGGCAGGAATGAGCAGCTGGGACCCCAGCCTGGTGCCAGTCCACATTTCAGAGCAGTCTTCTCTTGCACTCGGGTTTGCACATCGGGAAATGTCACTGGCTGTGTCTGGGGCTGCTGGGACTGTGAGACTCCTGTCACAGCTCACATTTCCTTGGCTAATTATGCCGTTTGAACCACCAGGAGCAATGGGAGCTCTTTGCAAACCATCTGTTGATCAGCTCCTGCCTGGAGCAGAGAAATTGGGTGCCCTGGTAATTACACTCCTCCCTCCTGTCACGGCACATGCTCTGCCTGACTGCTGGAAATGCCTCATCCTTTCTGAGGCTGCACAGATCTGTTCCTTGTTTCCTTCTCCTTCACCCCAAGGCAAAGAATCTGATGCTGCCTCTGGAGATCTCCCAGGATTTCCTGGCTGTTTAATCAGGGTCATGGCTCAGATCACAGGGTTGCAGTTTGTGCTGTTTGTGGTGAACAGGACGTTTGCCTTTCCTCAGGCAAACAGGGTCTGAAAGGGATGGGTTGGGAAGGTTCTGAGCTCCTTCAATAAAATCAGTCGCTCTGTATCTGAAAATCTGCAGAGTTGCATGTTCCCTATTTCCACTTTTCCTCCTCCCCCAAGCAGTGCCAGGTATGGGAAAGACTTTGAGGTGGTGCAATGTTCTGTGTCTTCTTCCTTGCGCCTGGATCAGGAAAGGGTTTGTACACAAAGCACCCCATAGCTCCCATCACATAGGGGGATCTTAAAGCATCCCTACAAATAGTGACTGGACCCAGGGAATGGCTCCCACTGCCAGAGGGCAGGGATGGATATTGGGAATTGGGAATTGTTCCCTGGGAGGGCAGGGAGTCCCTGGCACAGGGTGCCCAGAGCAGCTGTGGTGCCCCTGGAGCCCTGGCAGTGCCCAAGGCCAGGCTGGACAGGGCTGGGAGCAGCCTGGGACAGTGGGAGGTGTCCCTGCCATGGCAGGGGTGGCAGTGGATGGGGTTTAAATTCCCTCCCACCCAAACCATTCCATGTTTCTATGATCCTGTGTCTCTATGAACACCTTGCCAGGTCATGGGCAGGGACACCTTCCACTGTTCCAGGCTGCTCCAAGCTGGCCTTGGACACTGCCAGAGATCCAGGGGCAGCCACAGCTTCTCACTTCCCAAACCAAACTTCCCTGTTTTGGGACAAAGCAGGAGAGTCGTAGCCCCTGAGGTGTTGAATTCACTCACCTGCCTGCAGCAGAGCCTTTACTCTCCTCAGTTCCCTGTGTACTCAGCCTCAGGCATTTCTGGGGCATTTGGGACTGCTCTCCAGGGGCTTTTGCAATGGATAGGGACTGCAGGGTTATCTAAAAGATGCAATCTGCCACAAACCAGCAAAGTTGTTCCAAACACTTGTACAAAACCAAAATTATTCCTAAGACAGAGAAAATACTGAAGCCTTCAATAGGCTGATAAGTTGGAATCTCCAAGGATGGCTTTGGTTATCTTTGATACATGCAGTGCTTAACTTATGCACAGGACATCATCACAGGAAAGTTCAGGAAAGGACTTTCTTTGGGAAGTAAAATCCCTGGTTTCACCAGTTTTCATGCAGTTCCCTTTCTATTTCCAAGCTGAAGCAATCAGAATTCTGATCCTCACAAAGAGAATGCGAGGAAGGGCTGTTCTTACAGTGCAAATGAAAAATTAAATGGGATTAATTTAACCAGATTGTATCCTTGCAGCAAATACTCCTAGCCTAGAATCAGAATCACATTACCTCTGCCTCACATTAATTGCCTGTCAGCTGAGCTGGGTGGCTGTGGGCAGCACTCACCTGCAGCAGAGATGAGGTAGTACATGCAATTTAATCCCTTTTCATTGCAAATGAAGCTAAATTGCTCGATCTCCTTCCTTGAGCTGGAGCAGAAGCTCAGGACTGCTAAGGGAGCAGATTAACATCAGCCTTCCCTGAAGGGCTGCAGTGGCCTTGATTTGCTTTGTCTTAATTTGCTTTAGATAAACTCAGTCACTTCAAGAAGTTCATTGTAAGGAATTGTCAGGAGGGTTTTGGTGAAGACAAGCCTGTAGTGGATTCAATTTCCTTTTCTTTTCTCTCTACAAACATTTTTTCTGCTCTGGACCAACAAAGAGCTGCCTCTGCAGAAGGAGGGAGCAGAACCAACACAAGCTCAGTTCAAAGCCTCTCCTAATTTGTTTCCCCAGCTTCACTCCTGACATCAGTTGGGTTCAGGAGCTGTTTACATTTAGCTCCAATAACTTCAGATAATGTACTATTAACTGTTGAACTAATGATCCCAGACCTAGCATTTCCATCAGGACCTTGCCCATTGAGCTGACACTCCTCAGATCATTTTCTCTCTCATTAAAGTAATTAAAGACAACGTTTGGAAAGACCTTCAGGCAACCAGAGAAAGCTGATAATAAGCAAAGCACATGCACAGTTGTGTTCTTTTGATCTGGAGTTTAATTGCTGGAAGTTGGGCATGGATCTGTGTTTTCTGTGTGTGAGGGTGCCTGGCTCCAAGGGACAGTGAGGGGCACCTGGGCCTGTCCCTTCCTGGTGGCACTTCTGACTGACAAGGAATGAACGTTCCCAGGTATCCCATTTCCCTGGACCTGCAGTGGCCAAGAGCTTCTGTGTGGTTTTCCTTCACTGCAGGATTTCATGGAGAAGAGGCAGAAACATAAGAGGGGATGGAGATTCTTTTATGTGTTTTTGCTGCAGAGGAATTCAGTGAACAAATTTCCCCTGGGGATTAAGGGCTGTGCAGTGATCAGGGGAAGACCTTTTAGAAACTTAAGCCCAGTCTAAATTTGACTTTTCCCACATGACCCCGTTTGTGAAGAGTAGTTGTGAAGAGGAGTTTCACTGTTCCATTCCCCGTAGACAATAACACCATGTTACTGTCAAACATGCCCTAGATCTGCTTCATTTCTTCTGAGGAGAAATTTCTTCCTGGAAAGGGTGGTCAGGCCTTGGCAGGGGCTGCCCAGGGAGAGGTGGAGTCCCCATCCCTGGAGGTGTCCGAGGAACGTGGCTGTGGCACTCAGAGCTCTGGTCTGATGACAAGGTGGGGATCAGCCACAGCGTGGGCTCAATGGCCTTGGAGGGCTTTTCCATCCTCAGGAACTCTTGGATTCTATGATTAAGTCTCCCATTTCCATAAAGATAAAAATAAATTTTGAGGACTACAGTTGCAGCTGTTGGGCAGTGGCCTCATGGCTTCCGTGGGTGATCTGACTCCTGGTGTCCTTTCAGGGCCTTGTCCCACCCGTCCTTGCAGCCCCTGGCCCAGGAGGAGCCATTTCAGGAGTGCCTGAATGAGCACAGGGCTCATTCCTGTGGAATGGGATCTTCATCCCTCCCTGGGGCCAGTCCTGGGGGTGCCCAGTAAGGGTCCCATGGGTCAGGACTGGGGGTGACCTGGTGGGGTGGATCTGCTCAGATTTGGGGCTGGTTACAGGCAATGGAGGGAGGAACAGTCTAGAAGCAAGGGGAGAAGGGGAAGAAGAGGCTGCTCTTGGGAGCTGTTGGATCAGCTCATCCCATCTGCTGGAGCTGGAGCTTTCAGAGCCTTTTGGTGCTGCAGTGCTGTCATTTCCCCGCTGGTCTGAGAAACTGGGCTTCTGCTGCTTGTGCAGCTCTTCTCTCTGCTTTCTTCTGTGCTGCCTTCCCTGTGGAATTGTCAGCACAGCCTCACTTTTTATTTCCAACACCTCAGTCCTGACTCAGGGAATTGATACAGGGTGTGCCGGGGAGATGTAAAATCAGCAGATGTCTCTGGGCATGTCTGAGTGACTTTACCATGGGTCAGAGAAATGGGAAAGGGGCTGGAGCCCCAGGAGGGGCTGAGGGAGCTGGGAAGGGGCTGAGGGAGCTGGGAAGGGGCTGAGGGAGCTGGGAAGGGGCTGAGGAGCTGGGAAGAGGCTGAGGGAGCTGGGAAGGGGCTGAAGGAGCTGGGAAGGGGCTCAGCCTGGAGAAAAGGAGGCTCAGGGGCCCTTCTGGCTCTGCACAGCTCCTGCCAGGAGGGGACAGCCGGGGGGTCGGGCTCTGCTCCAGGAACAGGGACAGGAGGAGAGGGAACGGCCCCAGGCTGGGCCAGGGCAGGCTCAGGGTGGATTTTGGGAAGGGGATGGATACGTGGAAGAGGTTGCAAAGCGCTGGAATGCCCAGGGCTGAGGTGGAACCCCCATCCTTGGAAGTGTTCAGGAAATCTATGGCTGTGGCACTTGGGGATGTGAGTCAGTGGTGATGGTTGGACTCTGCTGCAGCGAGCGCCGTGCGGGGCGGCCGCGACTGTTCCTGCGAGCTCTGCGATCCCATTTATCCGCAGGGACACACAGCGAGGACACCGGGCTTGGGGTGCCACAAGATGGATTTATTTATTCCTGGGCTCCCAGACAGGACTGCGGGTGGGGTGAACAGAAATTTTTACCCAGCAAGTCAGGAGGAGGCGTGTAGGAAAGTGAACCAGTGAGGATATGGTAAGAGAGGAGTATAAGGTGGGCAAATGGCTCATGAGCCCACCAGGGAAAATGGGAGGGGGGAATAATACAAAGGAACAAATGGGGTGTCGAGGGCAACAAGACAGACACAGAATTCTATGGAGAAAGGGGTAGGGATAGGGAGGATTGACAACTTGGAAGGGAGGAGGTTAGGGAAGGGCTTGGGAAAATTGGCCAGTGGGGAAGGGAGGGGATTAGAGAGAACAGGAAGCGAACTTGGATTCAAAGCAAAACACACCACAACAGGACTCGATGACCTTAGAGATATTTTCCAAATTTAATTATCCCATGATTCTGTGATTCTAAGAGCCAGGACAAAGCCAGAAGAAGCAGCAGCATGAAGGACACTTGGAAATCACATATAAAACTTGCAAGAGTTTTTGTGTGGGTTCTTAACTGGCACGGACAGGGATTATGAAACTCGCTGTTATTTCCTTGGCTCAGACCTTGGGAAGTGTCCAGGCTTTGACAGGAGCAGTGTCTTTTGGTCTGTCTTCAGTTGATCACCTTTCTGCTGACCCTGAAGCCCAGGAGAAGCTCAGGTAATTATTTTCAATTGTTTTTTGGGAAGAGCTGATTTAAAGTGACGGAGGCCCTAATGAAAGCTGACCAGCTTTTCAAACTTGAAATGAAAACCCTTTGGCTTCATTCCCCTGGGCTAGAGAGGGAACATTGGAATTAAAGGCAGGGGAAGAGAGAGGAACAATTAACAAAATTCCTCCAGATGGTCAATTATCAAAGTAAAGCAGCTCTAGAGTAGAAATTCAGTTTTGTGGAGCAGTTCCCTAAGCAGAGCATGGTGCAGTTCATTCTCTTGCTCTGTAAATTAGTATCATTTTAGGATTTTGAAGAACAGATTACCTCCTTTTGCTGTTACTCTAAAAGCAGCTACTGCAGTCAAAGCACTGTTCCAAGGCTCTTCTCAGTAGATGCTGCCAATTTATCCTGGAAGAATACAAGTGCCAGCTCTGCAGCTTCATGACAAAAGTTTAGCTTTACACAGTCCTGATTTCAATTTACACAGAGAAATCCTGCTCCAGTAACTCGATGTTTCTTATCGGGGCTGATTCCACGTTGGCTGAATAACTTGTGAATCTCCTGCAGCTGCCTCGAGTTTGGCTCAGGGATGAGCTGCTCCCTCCCATCAAACCACAACCAGCTTTGTGACATTTCTGAAGGCTCAGCTTGTCTGCGCTTGGCTTTTTCTGCAGTGATGTGGAAGAGAAACAGCTCCAGATCTTGCATGGAAGGGGAAACAGAAATGGGACGTGATCCACCTGGCTTCAGGAATTTGTGGAAAAAGAAAAGAAAAACACTTTGGGCTTGAATGTTTAGCCTGATTTGAATTGGGGAATCATGGGTTGGGAGGGACCTTAAAGCCCACCACCCAGTGCCACCCGTGCCATGGCAGGGACACCTCCCACTGTCCCAGGCTGCTCCAAATCCTGTCCAGCCTGGCCTTGGGCACTGCCAGGGGTGCAGGGACACCACAGCTGCTCTGGGCACCTGCGGTGGTTTTGCATGAGAGGCATTCATGACAGCGATGCAAAGCTTCCAGCCACTAAAAAGCTGCACACACCTCTGTGAAAAACACGTGAAAGACGAAAGAAACCCGAGAACCTCCTCTTTCTTTCCTGGTGGGCAGAGAGGTACCGGCCCGGCCCCGTCACCTCCCGAACAGAACGGGGGCAGTGCCACCGAGCCCAGGCAAGGCTGGACCAGCACAACCAGAATTCCACCACCCACAGCCACCGGGCAAGGAGAAGGAGAAACCATCGACCCCCAGCCACAACTCCCACCACAAACTACTCAGCCTGAGCAGAGTCAAGTAACCATCTACAGCATCAAACAAAAATACTAACTCTTGCACTTCTTCAATCCTCCCTCAAGTTAAAAAAAAAAAAAATACAAGCAATATAGAAGAACAACTTAAAAGTACCAAAGTCAATGAAAAAGTAGTCAAGTCCCAAATAAGAAGAATAAAGAGTATCTTTTATTTTAGACTAAAATCTTCTTATAAGGCTATAGAAAAATACTCTTTTTCCTATAACACATAAAAATACAGGGAGATAAGTGTTCAGATTTTCAACACCAAATGAAAAGCCTCCATACTAAAATAAGCAAATATTAAAATACCTACAATCCTATAAGAAGTTTAAACAAAGAAAGAAAGAAAGAATAAGGACCCTATGCTCCCACAAAAAAAGAAAAAAACCCTCTATTTACAAAAATAAAAATAATTTTAGAGATAAATAATAGAAAGCTTTACCTTTAAACAACTCATCTTTGAAACAATACCCCATAAGTTAACATAACCTATAAACACAACTATAAAAAAACCTTATAGAAAATAAGAAAGATTTCACAATAAGAAGTTTCCCCAAAGAACTACTATTCGTAAAACTAAAAACCACACAGCCTGTGCCAGGAACTGCCCTGTGAGCCCTCCCTGTGCTGCTGGTGCTGTGTTGGGTTCCTTTTCCTGCCCTGAAAGCAGCACTTGGATACTGGGGCCTGGGGGCACAGCAGCAACTGCAGGGCAGCTCCTGCTCTCCCTTTTGGGAGGTGGAGCCCAGTGCTGGGGAAGTTCCAGAACAACGGGTGTTTGTCCCTTTTCTTGTTCTGGTTGCTCCAGAGAATCTCTTCCCAGCTCCACAGAATCCCTTCCCAGCCCAGGCTGGACAAGGCTTGGGAGGGGGTGGCACAGGATGGGCTTTGAGGTCCCTCCAAACCCAAACTGTTCCGTGATTCTGTGACCCAGAACTGGGATCCCTGTGCTCCTCCCGGGCTAGAATGGGACAGTTGCTGGCATGTCCAGTGCTCCAGTTCACACCAGTGAATTGGTGACCCCTGTGGGAGTTCCCTGCTGCAGCAGGAATTGGGGATATTTGAGACACTTTGTGCCACACGTTGACGCTCAATTTGCACTCATTGGAGTTTCAGTTATCAGTCTCCAAACCCTCCTGGCCTGAACCTGTGTTTGTGCTGGTTCCCATCGCAGCTCTTCTGAACAATTCCTGTCAGTTGTGGGAAGGAGAGCTGGTGCAAATACATCATTAAATAGCTGGAGAGGAAAGGGCGGCCCTAGTGACCTCAGTGCTGGCATTTATCAACTTCCAACCTTCTCCTTTGGAATATTAATGGTTCCGTAATGTTTTACAGTGGAATTACCTCTGTACACTGAATGCTTTGCAGAACACACCGTAAATATTCCATGGAACAGAATGGATTCATAGAGTGCAATATTTATCTCTGAAGGGGCAAATCTTACCCAGGTGTCACTAAGTGGTAACAGACTCCAAGGCTTTTCACTGTCTCTCGCTCTTATCCTTTATGTGATGGTTTTATTTTGCAAGGGTAGTTTGCACTTCCTGTATCCAGAAAGAAAATGATGAACAGCTCAGTTCCTGTGGGACTAGAGGGAGGATGTAAGTGGTGGATTACAGGTTGTAAGGGAGCTGTGGAACCTTGACTGCAAATAGTTTTTCACTTAGCAAAGTCAGGCTCTCCTTAAAGGAAGGATAAATCTTGTTCACTGGAACAGAACATAATTGTTCCATCGAACTGGTGCTGCAGTGCTTTAAACAGCTCGGGGGAAGGAGAGGTTTCTATCCAGCCACACATTCCCACCAGGATCTGCCAGGGGAGGGGAAAACCAGCAGAGATGGAGATCTGTGAGGGAGGAGAGCTGCTGAGCTTCCTGCAGCTTGAGGTACAAAAAATAATAAAAAGCTTTTCAAAGGTTTGTGGTGCTCTGTTCTGTTTTGATGAGCAGCCAGGAAAAATAAGGATAGGCTGTCCCAGCCCTTCCTAAGGAAGATGTGTTACTTGGGGAGAGCTTGGCCAGCACTGGTACAGTGTCTGGGTAAAAGAACGAGGCCAGAGTTCAGATGTGCAGAGGTGCCATTTGTCACCTCAGGGGCTCTCTGGGGCAGGGATTTGCCTGTTCAGGGCTTGCTGCACTTCCCTCAGCCCCTCATAAACCAGCCTCTCTCCTGAGATGATGTTACCAGTGCTGAGCTCTCAACATGAATGCTAAGCACAATTAACTTGTTAAGTGCTTTGCTCTTCAGATGAAAACTGAATTTTAAGTATTACTCTGTCAAATTCCATCTCCTCAGTCCTGCAGCTGAGGATATCTAGATGAATTTCAGGCTGATGGATTCCCAGCATGTCTCTCTGTAGTGTTCTGTGTGGATTAGTTTTACAGCCTCTTAATTCCATCCCTCCATGTGCTCCTTATGCAGAATAACTGCAAAGCTGTGCAGACTGAGAGGGGATTCCTTGGGTAAATGCTGGCCTTAATTAAATCGACTGGGTTTCCTTTGGTTTGTGCGGAAATTTGAAAGCCACAGAGGATCAGAGTGGGAGGGGAAGAAAAGGGCATGTGGTGTGAGGGGCTGGGTTTGGGTCCTCCCTGTGGTGCTGTTTGGTCCCTACAAGTCACTCCATGGGCCTGAAGTGCTCCTCACACTGAGGGGAATGTCCTGGTGCTTGTTCAGGTGATGAAAAGCTTTGAATAAACACCCTGTGTTTGCTGATAACATGGAATTGGTTCTTTCTGGCATGACTTTACAAATAGGAATAATTCTGCTGGTTTTGTTGAGGACCCGGGGGCTGGGATTGCCCCAAGGCTCACAGACAGAGCTGCACATGGATCACTCGTGGCCTGTGTCAGCTCCTGGTGTTGCACCTGGTTCTGGTGATCTTACTATGGGATGTCTGAGACTGACGACCCTTCTAATGGCAATGAAGAGAAACAGCATCATGGAATCATGGAATGGTTGGAGTTGGGAGGGACCTTAAATACCTTCCAGTGCCACCCCTGCCACGGCAGGGACACCTCCCACTGTCCCAGGCTGCTCCCAGCCCTGTCCAGCCTGGCCTTGGGCACTGCCAGGGCTCCAGGGGCACCACAGCTGCTCTGGGCACCTGTGCCAGGGCTGCCCACCCCCACAGAAGGAATTTCTCCCCAGTACCCATACCCATCTACCTGCCCTCCTGCAGCTGCAGCCATCAGGACACTGAGCATTGTCATAGTTCTCAAAAACCAAATCTCTTTCCTTGTTGTGGGGACCTTCCTCCCCACTGGCTGGAAGAAACATCCAGGAAAGTCTGCCCAGAGACTGAGCTTTTCCAAGGGAGCCCCGGTGGGGAATGCAGACAATCCATGGTCTCTGATGGGTTCTCAGAGAGGGGGAATGTCTGTCAGCCTGAGGTGACAGCTCCCACAAGCCCTGTCCTGTGGGTACCAGCTCTGTCCCACACGCACCACACAGTCCATGCACAGCTCCCACTGGGATCTGCTTATTGCCATGGAAAGGAACAGGAATCACTCTGCAGCTCCCCTGAGCCGAGCTGCTCCCTGGGCAGTTTCCCTTCCCTGACTCAGGATCTCTGTGGATGCAGAAAAACGGGATCAGCCCTGCCCTGAGGGCAGCAAGGAACTGTCTTCTGACATCTTCCATTTCCTCTCCCATCCCCAGCAGCAATTTATAACCGCAGCTCTAATTTGCTCACTGCTAAACGTCTGCACTGATATCAGAAACTGTGTGAAAAATCTCCTCCTTTAGGACTCTGCTGCTTCGAGCCTTTGAAGAGATGCAAACAATGGAAATCAGGAGTAAGAGATGGAGATATCAGAATGACAATGCAGTTATTAAAGACCTGAATCCTGCCAGGGGTCTGTTCTCTGGATAGAAATTAAGATGATCACAGGAACACTGAATTAAATAGAACAGTCATGAATGAGACCTCACAAAAGGCAGACATTGATTCCTGCACCTCCACAGAGAAAGGAAGAATTCTGAGAGTGGATAATCAGTCATTCTTATTTCTTATTTCTTATTGTTTCCTCCACACCATTCCCCTGTTCCACCTTCACCATTCTTCAGCGGAGTCTGCCCAGGGAAAACAGGATAAATGCTGTTTTTGGGACAGCAAATGCTGCCAGAGCAGTGCTGAGGTCTAGGACAGGTCCCCGTGGTGACACAGGGACATGAGGTGTGAAGGGTGCAAAGGGACGCAGCATTTATGGGCACAGTGAGCCTGCTCAGACATGGGCTCAGGTGTCTGCAGCAGTGAGAAAACCATCTGGAAACCTCTCCCAGCAAATTGTCTCTCACATTCCCACTGGAAAGAGGTGTGACAGCTCCAGCAGCTCAGGATTCATTTGACACCTCCTTTTGCCTGTCAAGCTGTACATGTGGGGCTTTGGGGCTCCCTGTATCCATAGGGCTGGATCAGTAGCTCCCTCCTGGATGGACAGCCTTGTACTGGATTTACTGATTTGTGT